TTTGGACAAATATTTTTATGAACATATACTTTCATTTCTCTTGTGTAAATACCTAGAAATGGAATGCTGGTTCAGAGAAGACAGGAATATGTTTAGTTTTATAAGAAACTGCCAGACGTTTTCCCAAGAAGAAGTACTATTTTAAATTCTCATCAACAATGTGTGAGGGTTCCAACTATAATAGTTCACATCCTTACCAACATTTGGTCTTGTCAGTCATTTCAGTTTTAGACATTCTGGCAGATATGTAGTTGTATTTCATTGTGGCTTTAATCTGCATCTTTCTAATAACTAATATGTTGAACATCTTTCCATGTGTGTATTTGCTATTCACAAATCTTATCTGTCTTTTTATCAGGAACCAGAAAACTCCAGCCCTGTGACCAAATCTAGCCCACAGCCTATTTTTGTAAGTAGTCTAGGGTTGTTTTTTAAAAATGCAACAGATTGTATTTGACCTGAAAAACCTAAAATATCTTACAGGAAAAAACCCGATTCTACTATGTATTTATAGTATGTCTTATTTATAAGGGGATTCCCCCCAAAACTGGAATTATCTTTTTGGAGGGTGTAATGTTTGTTGTACAGGCTTCCCCTGCCAGGTGTTTCAGGAACCCATTGGCATCAGTGTACCAGCTAGTGTTGTTGTGAGAGAGAATTTGTGGAAAAAATGACCCAAGTTGTGACAAACAGGTGACTGGTTCTTCCACCATGAAAATGCACCTACCCATTACCACACTGAGTGTTCAGCAGTTTTTTACCTAAAACAGCATGACTCCTTGCCCCCCTCCATTAACCCCTGAACAACTTTCTTTTATTTCACCAGATGAAAAAAGTCCTCAGAGGGAAACGTGGTTTTTTTTTGTTTGCTTGTTTGTTTGTTGCTGATGTGGAAGAGGTGAAACAAAAAACAGGAGAAGCAATAACAGTCTTCAAAATCGATGAGTTTAAAAACTGTTTTGAGCAATGGAAACAGTGTCTCAATAGGTGTATTGCATCAGATGGAGAGTACTTTGAAGGTGACTGAAGTTTAAGCATGAAGAATAAATACACAATTTTTAAAACATAAATTCTGGGGTTTTGGGGGGCCCTCATACAGCATATTGATGGGTATTGATTTTTAAAATTCATTCTTATAATCTCTTCTTTTTAGCTGGAGTTTTTAGTCCACTGACATTTGATATAATTATTGGTGAGATTAGATCAATGCTACTATTTTATTATTTAAATTGTTTTTACCTCTGATTTTGTTGCTCTGTTACCTTTTTGTTCCTTTTGTTACCCCTGTTCCTCTTTTTCAGCCTTCTTTTCATTATTTACATATTTTTAGGATTCCATTTTAAGTCATCTATAGCTTTTTAGCTATACTACTTTACATTATTTTTAGTGGCTGCTCTAGAGATTATAATCTACCTCCTTAAATTTTCACAAATTTTAGAATATTGTATACTTGATATAAAATATAGAAACCATGTAACAGAATAAGTCCACTTAATGCCCATTGTCTTTTATTTTTGATTTGTATGTATTATAATTACATGCATTATAGATACCGTATGACAATGTTATATTTTCTTTAAATATTCATGTCTATTTTAAGAAAATTAAGAAGCAGAAAAGGTTTTTGTATTTACCAGCTATTTACTATTTCTGATACTCTTCATTCCTTCCTTAGGATCCAAGTTTCTGTCTAGTATGTATCACTTCCCTTCAGCCTTAAGAATTTTTTTTCCCAGTTTTTTTTTGTAGTGCAGATGTGCTGACAATAAGATTCTCAGTCCTATTTTTTTTTTTTTTTTTTTTTTTTGAGTTGAAGTCTCACTCTGTCGCCCAGACTGGACTGCAGTGGCACGCTCCCGGCCACCGCAGCCTCAACCTGCTGGGTCCCGGCGATCCTTCCGCCTCAGCCTTCCGAGTAGCCGGAACTACAGGCACGCGCTACCATGTCCAGCTAATTTTTTGATTTATTGTAAAGATGAGGTCTCACCAAGTTGCCCAGGCGGGTCTCGAACCCATAGGCTCAGGCAATCCACTCACCTCAGCCTCCCAAAGCGCAGGATTACAGGCTGAGCCACCAAGCCCAGCTTCTCAGTCCTATTTTACATGGATTTTTTAATTTTCATTCTTGAAGGATTTTTTTTTTTTTCTGGTTACAGAATTCTGTGTTGGTTTCTGATTTTTTTCTTTTAATGCTTTAAAAATACTGTTCTTTGGCTGGGTGTGATGGCTCTTTGGTAGTTCAAGACTAACCTGGGCAACATAGCAAGACCCTGCCTCTACAAGAAAGAGAGAGAGAGAGAGAGAGAGAGAGAGAGAGAGACAGAGAGAGGGAGAGAGAGAGAGAGATACCATTCCACTGTATTTTCCCCCCCTCCAGTTTCTATAAAAAGTCAACTGTAATTTACATTTTTGTTCCACTGTATGTTATGTATTGCTGATTTTCAGATTCTCTCTTTAATTTTGGTTTTGAGTAGTTTCACTCTGAGGTTTATAGGTATGGTTTTCTTTGTATTTATTCTGTTTGGGTTTGGCTGGGTTTCTCATCTTTCATAAGATTTGAAAAAACTGTCCTAGATTTTCTTAAATATATGTTCTGCCTTATTCTATGTTATCTTCTCTCACTAAGATTCCAATTTTATCTATATAATCCTTAACATTATATATATGTTAAAATCTTTGATAGTATTCCATCGATCTCTGTGACTCTTTTCATTAAAAAAAATGATCTGTACTTTAGATTGGATCATTTCTATTACTCTATCTTCAAGTTCACTTTCTTTTTACACTGTCATCTCTGTTCTGCTATTAAGATTCAGTTACCTTTACTCAGATATTTTTTAGTTCTAGAATTTTCATTTAGTGGTAGTAGTAGCAGTAGTAGCAGTAGCAGTAGTAGTTGTTCTTCTTCAATGCATAGTTTTTGTTGAGATCTTATCTTTTCATAAATTAGAGCATATTTCCTTTTACATCTAAGCACAGACATAAAAACTACATTAAAGAATTGTCTCCTAGTTCCAACATTGGTTTGTCTTATGATTGATCTCTGTAGTTGTCTTTTGAGAATAGGTGACACTTTTCTAATTCTTTCCATGTTGGGTAATTTTGGATTGTTCCCTGGCTATTATGAATGTTATTCTGTAGACATTCTGAATTCTGTTGTATTCTTTGAAAGAGTGTTGATTTTTTTTTTTCCTCAGGCAAGCAATGAACTTGATTGAAAGCAAATTGAAAACTGAAAGTTCAAATCTCAGTTTGGTTGTGCTATGACTTGAATGTATGTGCCCCTCCAAAAATCATGTTGGCACTTAAACCCTAAGGTGATGGTATTAGGTCATGGGGAAGTGATTGGGAAGTGATTAAGTCATGAGGGCACTCCCTTTATGAATGGATCGATGCCCTTTAAAAAAAAAAAGAAGAAGAAGCTTCAGAGTGTGTGTCCTTTTTTTCCCTTCTGCTATATGAGGACACGGGATACAAGGCACCATCTTGGAAGCAGAGACCAAGCTCTCACCAGACACTAAACCTGCCAGTGCCTGATCCTAGACTTCTAGCATCTGGAATTGTGAGAGATAAATTTATTCTTTATAAATTACCCAGTCTTGGGTATTTGTTACAGCAGCACAAATAGGCTAAGACATTGTTTTATCTGACTTTGGGCTGTTTTTAGTTTGGCCCAAGCATCTGTGTCTTAGGAGTCAGCCATAGGTTTGGACAGAGTTTATGCAGAGAATCTGGGGCTCTCCCTCTCCTGTGGTAGCAACGGAACTGTGCTATTCAGATACACAGCCACAGGGAACATAACTGACTGACAGCCTCGACTGCCACAACTCTGGATCCACTATGGTATTCATGTGAAGACCCTTGTATTCCTGTCAGATGCAACATTTCTAAAATGATAACTTGGGTGTGAGGACTCTCCAGTACTGGAGTGAGACTTTTTCAGAAGTGCTCTGTAGTCTGAAGCCCTTCCTAGCTCATCCTTACTTCTTTCTCCCTTTTTGCTGATGTCAGACTTGCTTCACCAACCATGCCTACTCCGATTCCTCCTTGCTCCCTTCTCCTCGACCACATGCATGGTCTTGAGGGTTCTAAAGGTTAATATGTTGGTTCTCGCAGGGACATGGAACTGAATGCCTCCACCTTGGCCATATGTATATGGCTTCTGTCCCAAAGGTCATTCACAAGGGTGGTGGGCAATTCTCAGAGGGATTATAGGAAGTCTGGGGGCAGCAAGGGGCTGGATCTCAGTTTTTCTGGTCCACACCCTAACAGTCAAGTTTTTTCAGAAGAACTTGTGGCTTTAGGACACTTGCATACCTCTTCCATGCCTCTTTTACCCAGAAATTGAGCTGCTGGCCTGCCTCATCAGGAACAGATACTGAAGACCCTGTTGACACGATTCTGGAGCCAGGGATTGGTGGGGGTTGTGGGTTGGGTATGTGAGTAGGAGGGGACAAATCTGGCTCTGCTTCTTGGGCCAGGGAAAATAAAATGCATTTTTATTTTTTATGTCATGTTAAGAACCCTGTCTCAGGAGAAAAGGAGTCCCCAGCTCCCAAGACAATGCCTGATATTTGTTAGCTAGGTACCCTACCAGGAGGAAAATGAGGAAGCAGAGTGCTAGTGCCTTATGCCAGCCCCAGAGCACAGAAATAAATGAGTAAGGTGGGTTTCCTGTCCTTTCAGTGATTCCTATCCCAAGTGAGAGACCACAGAAGAAAAGGCAACAACGGAGGTTCAGATAAAACCTTAGAGAGAGACAAGGTATATTTGGGTAACCAAGGATGCCTTCACAGAGGTGGTGGCATTTGAGAGGTGGTCTGATGAGTAGGAGCTGCCTGAGAAAAGTAGAGGGGAAAGCAGCTTCTATCCAGACTTGGGTGGGGAGGCTTTGCCCGGATTAAGTCACAATGATTATGGCTTCGGGTTTTTTTTTGGTGTGGAAGGGGAGCAATGAGCTGTTTGGGGTGATTGGAACATAACATGTGGAATGAGACCTGTTTTAAATTAACCTCTATTTTTATTACAACCAATTCTTAAATCATTCAGGAGGAATTTATTTGGGCACCTATGATATACAAGAAATGGGACTAAGCATAAATAGAAAAGAAAGTAATTATCCCATGCCTCCATCTGTCAGTGGTTGGGATTTGCTGTTGCTGCTTGGTGTGGAAGTGCTGAGCTGGCATGGGCAGGGGGCAGTGCAGTCCTGCTCTGTGTAGGAGGCGTCCCTGTGGTGTTTACACACTTTGGTCAAACTGTGGGATTCCCTAAAGCCCAAAGGATAAGGAAAGGCACTAGCCTCAGAGGAAGTGAGCTGCCAGGAGCTGACCAGAGAGCCTACCAGACAGGCCTGGAGTCCAACTGGCCAGAGCAGCTGGTCTTCCCACAGAGGGCCTGGTGCAGGTGTGCTCAGATAGCCACGCTGTTGGGAATCCTGTCTGGGGACAAGTAGTAATATGGCAGCTTCTTGTTCTTGTTTCGCTCAGCAATCACACTGACGATGGCTTCGAGGTCCTTACGGAATCGTGCCATGGCCTCCTTCACAGGCTTTTCGATAAAATGCTCTTCTGGGTACATGCCCAGGAACAGCTGAGGACCCAGATATGGACAGACAGGTTAATCTGCCACCCACGTGAACGGAGAGGCCTGTTCCACCACCAGGAGCCACTCTTTAGGAAGTAAGAGAGGGAACCTCCCCATTTCCACACTCAGCTGTCTGCTGAGAGTGCAAGAAGGCAAAGCTGCTTCCAATCTGCTTCTCTAAGGAAGGCTCCGGGATTGGGGCTTCAGGGATATATTGGAAAAATAATGGTGCCCCAGCAGGTGGTTACAAAGCCGTGTAATAATGCCCATGAGTATGGAAGCTATTGGTAGTCCTAGCCACCATGGGCATGTGGCCCTGTGTTCTGCACAGGCCACCCTATGCAGCACTCCCATGTCCCACCTTGGCTCTAGGCACACAGGGGCATAGAGGATCACACCAGCCTCTCCAGCCCAGGAGGACAGAGGCAAGCCCGGTGGGGCAGGTAATCAGTAGGGGTCACCACCCTGTTAGGGTGCTGTGCTCATATGCATGCTCACACAGATGTCTGCACGTTAAAACTAGACATATCGTCAAAAACAATAAAAACAAAACTGTATTGGATTGTTAAGATCAGTTTCAGGGCTGAAAAAGTATGAGAAACATCATAGGCTAAAGATGGTGGGATTTTGGGTTTAGTTTGTGGAAGGCAATTCAGTCTCAATATTTGTTGACCAAGCAATTCCTCTTAAGAAAGTATCTGGTCATACTGAACACCCGTGCAAAGACATATACGAGGATGTCCAATGAGGGACCTACGCATTAGAAAAGACTGGAAACAGCTTAGATGCCCATCAGTCTGGGGCTGATTGAAACAGCACCATCATTCCATGCAGCGCTGAGCTACTGCCAAGGGGTTGTGTCTACCAACACACCACGTCTGTTGTTGGGTTAAACAAAATGTATGTGTCTGGAAGGAACCTAGGAAACTCTTTGAAGTTCCCTCTGAAGTCAGGGAGAAAACCACATGGAAGAGCTTTGCCAACAGCTGGGGGAGAAGGGGCGACACACATCACCTTCTGGAGCAGAACCTGTGTGCTCTCTTGCCCCGCCCACCCTGAGCTCGGTCCAGGCTCAGCCTGAGGACCTGGTGGCAGCTGCAGCCACGGGCCCTTCCAGCCTTGGAAGTCAGGATTCCTGGCCACATGTGACCAGCTTGAGCCCTGGGTCACAAAACCCTGAGGTTGAGGAATGGGTTAAACCTGGGAGACTTGGGCTGTCCCCTACCCTGCCAGGCCTCACCTCGTTTTCCTGGAACTGGCTCAGCGCCCAAACAGCGCCCAGGTGCCAGCAGGAGCGGCCGCGGTCGGGCAGCGTGTCCACGATCTGCTCGATGGTCACCACGCCCTTGGCCGTGGGCGGCGGAGCTCGCATGGTTGGGGGAGCATTGGGGATCCAAGAGCACCAGTCGTACTGCGGGACGGCCACAAACACGCGTGAGTGCCGGGGAAGCCCAGCTGACCGCCCACATGCGGCCCGCCACGCCCACACCAGCCCCTACCCCCAGGTCCGCCGCCCCTCCTCCTCCCGCCCCCTCCCCGCGGCTGGCGCCCTCAGCTGTGCTGGCAGAATCCACCCCTAAGGCTGTGCCAAGGGTCCGACAGGGAAGATGGCAGCCGGTGGCTGGAGCCAGAGGAAGAGGAGGGGGCGGGGTCGAGGGGACACTGGGCAGCTCCCGTCCAAAGGCTCCTCCCCGGCCTACCTGGCCAAAATTGACAGCGGCATGCTGCGCAGAGGCGGTGAAGATCACCACTGTCAGGTACTCGGAAAGCTTCTCTCTGCTCTTGATGGACTTGGGGAAGCCTAGGGCAGAGCCATGGGCTAGCTGAGGCCACGTGCTGGGCACCCTAACCCTCACAGTGCCTGGACTCCCACCCTAGGGTTGGAGGGCCCCGTGGGCTAGACATTCCTGGAGGGAGCGGCAGCTGGGCCAGCATTGCTGATGTTGCTCCTGAGACGTGTCCTAAGATGTCCCCAGGAGGCACCTGGTGGGCAGCTCCAGTGCTGCGGCCAGCATCCCAGGAAGAGGCAGAGGTGTGGGCAGAGCAGGAAGGAGGGCGAGAGCCAGGCCCTACCTGAGGCCTTCCTGCCCCGCATGCCATAGACGTAAACATCCTTCACGAAGTCCTGCAGCTCCTGGTCCTCCATCACTACCTGGTCACTCTCATAGTAGATGCCCACCACCTCGGCCGTGAATCTGGCTCAGGAGGGAACCAGCAGGGCATGGGTGACACAGTCAGGTCTGCTGTGCCCCATTGGTGATCCTGCTACTTACTCCTTAATGTCCGGGCTCAGGACTTGCACTATACCCCCTTTCCTCTATCAGCTCCAGACAACAGAGCCAGGGTTGCCCCCATGGAGTCAGGCAGGAGGCCTCCACTCCTCCCCCAGGATCTCCTCTTCCCACTGTGCAGCACCAGCCCCTGGCCCCCAGCAGGCACTCACTTCTTGATGGCTTCCCACACCAGGAGCCCGTCATCTCTGTAGAAGTAGTAGGGGATGTCCTCTGTGCTATCCATGCCTCGGGCCTTGATGGCCTCGGGGAAGCACAGGGAGGTGTAGGTCAGGTCCTGCATGGCCCTCTGCACCATCTGCACGTGCCCGCCACCTCCTGTGGCATTGGCCTGAAGAGGAATGGAAGAGCCTGAGTGGTGGCTCTCCTCCCCAGCTGTCTAGCCTCAGAGCTCCCTCCCCTACCATCCAGGAGAAACTGCAAGGGCAGTGGGGGGTAGGCAGGTATGCAGAGGGGCAAACCTACATCCTGTGGTAGTGGTGGGGATGTTTAATGCAGGGAGTGCTAGGGGCTCACAGGTGAGAAAGTGACAGGAAGGAGCCTTGGTCCAATCCAGTCCAAGGAGTTGAAGAGAGGCAGGTGGCAGAAGAAAGCCCAGCACTAGAGGGCCTGGGCTGTGAAGTCCTCTAGCCAGAGACCCACAAGGAGGAATTCTGGTCCTGATCTAAGTGAAATGCAGATACACATGCAAGCACACAAATACGCCTGTGTGGCTAAGACTGCGGAATATTTGAAGAAGGACTTAGGAGCTGGGGTGCTAGATATTGGTCCACGGTGGCCATTTGACCCAAGCAGAGCCGATCAGAGCTGCTCCTAGTACTTTCTGTTTAGATACCACCAGGGAGATGATAGTCACATGGGAACACGAGGCTGGGGCGCCTGTGATGAAGTCCCATCCCATGGGGTTCTGTCCGCAGCAGGGGGAGAGTATGAGGCCAACACAATTGAAAGAGAGAAAGGGGGTGCTAGCTAGTAAGTATGCACCTGGGGCGTTGTTTGAATACCTAGATCCCTTTGGTCTGAGGCTCCCTCTCTCTACTATATCCAAGTATATGAGGTAAGACATCCTATACAGCTTCAGCTGGTTTGAGGTGGGTTTTGGCATTTGCAACAGAAACAGCATCCCAACTTCAGTGATCATCTGGCCTGGTCATTAATGAGTGTGTGGGGGAAAGGAGGAAGGTCAGGGGTGAGGACCCATGTGAGGGTCCATGCTTGATAATGATGGGGACTCAAAACGAGGTGGGGCTGGCAGACTTCAAGGGAAGGGTGTGTTGTGAGCATTGAGGGCCTGAAAGGGCAGAGGGTGCAAGGCTGTGCTCAGAGTGCTGGGAGGTTCAGGGTAGGAGTGCAGGGGTGTGGCAAAGTGAGAGAGAAACATGGGTTCCTGGTACATACAAGGTCAGTGGGCCATAAAGAAGCAGGTGTCTCAGGGGGTCTGGCAGAGGAGGGGAGACCAGAGGAAGGGTGGTGAGAAATAACAGGGAGACATTATCAAGGAGGAAGACCTGGTGGTGCACTGGAGAAGAGAGCTCACCCATGGCTGGGTGGAAAGGGCTGGAAGTTGGCCGGAGGACCCAGGAGCCAGTACTTAGAGTACAGCCTCAGCGTTCAAAGCAGTCTCCAGCCTCCAGGCTCCACCCTCCTCAAGCCTCCACTCTATGGCATGCCTGGGCTGGGCTGGCCCTCTGAAAGGAAGTCTAGTCCTCAAGTGGGGCGTGGAGGTTACCAGGTAGGGCTCTTCAGGGCACTGGGAGTTGGGGGTGGAGGGTACCCACCTTGTCGAAGAGGCCATACTCACAGATGAGCTGCTCACGGGCCTTGGTGTTGATAGCGATGGTGAATCGCACGTGCGCCACTAGCAGCTGCAGGGAAGAGGAGGAGGCCTCAGAGGGCACCCTGCCAGGGCCTCCGGGATCCCCAGCACTCCCATCCCGACCCACCATGGAGGGGAAATGCTGGGTGCAGGGAGGAAATGAAGGTCAGGAGCTGATCTTCTGCTAAGTAGACGTTATTGATGGAGGCCTGGTGCCACTTTGATGCTTAACAATGACAATAATGATAAAAACAGGAATAGTTGACACTTATGTAGTGCTTAAGTATATAAGCTCTCTGAGTTTATTAACTATTTTATATCCTGACCACCATCCTGTAGGGCAGGTGTACTATTTTGATCTTTTTTATGGTGAGGAAACGGAGGCACATAGAGATTTTTTTAGCCTGCAGTCACCCCATCAGTCAGTGCTGGTAGGAAACAGGAGACGAGAGTGACAGGAGGGACAGACACAGGGATCAGCAGAGGATCACGTTAAACTCATTTGCCTTTTCAAACTCTACTCTCTGACCAATCAGGCCTCCATGTCAAGCACAGCTCTAGCCTTGTGTCCTGGGAACAGCAGGTCCCAGCTGCTCTCTTCCTTGGGGAACATTACTGATTCCCAGAACATCTCTCTAGGTATCCCTTTCTGTCACCCAATCTCAGCCACAGACTTCCTGTGGGGATGTCAGCACCCTCTTCCCTCACTGCTTCCAAGTAAAGCAGTAGCTGGCTGTACCTTGAAAATGGGGTGTACGGCGGGCAGCTGGCGGTACATGGCAATGCCAAAAACTTCAGACACCAGATGTGTACGCAGAAGGTGGGTGATGGTCTGGTGGACATGGAAGTCACTGGAACGCACCCAGATTTTGGCCAAAAGCCAATCGTATTTTGCATCCGAAGGGAGAAAAATGGGGTTCTCATCTCCTGGGATTTGGCTGAGCTGGTACATTAGAGAAAGAAAACACATTGCTGCATTTCACTCCAGACTATAGTTGTTAGAGAACCTCTTAGAAAATTCTGGAAGAATCCAAATTTCTTAAACAGTGACTTTTGGATTATGAGAAGAGCCTGGAGGGGGAAGGAGGGAGGGACCAAGGTTGGTAAGTCCTGTCCCAGTGACATTACTTACAACCCACATGACCCCGGATGACAACCTAAGCCTTTCTGAGCTCTGGCATCACCATTTGTAACATGGGAACAATAATTCCTCAGCTCACAATTAATGGGAAAATGACCTAAGGTAGCTGGCAGTGTCATATGGAATGGGCAAGCAGAGGGCAGGCAGAGGATGTGATCCCTGCCCCTCTTCCCCTCTTGCCCTTCTTGTCTGGCTCCCACACCTACTGCCTCTCCTTGGACTCCCACACTTTCCTCTCTCTCCTCTTCTCTGAAATGCTAGTGCTCCCCTTGCCTGCATGCGCCTGTCTTCTCTTCTTGCCCTTGATTTGCTCCTCCTCCTATTCCCAGGGCTTAAGGCTCTCATGCTGCTGAGTCTCCCAGATCAGGATCTGTAGCCCAGGCTCTGTCCTGAGCCCAGACCTGGGCCCAGCATCTCCCATAATACAGGCTAGACCTGTTTTCCTCTTTTCTGTTTCAACTCCACCTGGGATCATGGTGATTTTTTCTAAAATGCAAATTGTGTTATGTGAATCTCCTCTTTAAAACTACTCAGTCACCTCTTAATGGCAAAAAAAATAGTCTCCAAAATCCATGGTGATCTAGTCATTGACACCTCAGCAGATCCAGCCCCACGATCCAGCCTCCCAGTGTACCAGGCACTGGGCTCTGCTCTTGCCAGTGAAATGTCTGTAAAACCTATACGTCTGTATAACCTTAATAACCTGTAAAAGCTTGTTTGACATAAGTAATTCTCTCTTGCTAAAAACTTCCAATTTAGTTACATGCCTGCTACCCAGATGCAGCACTCAGACACAGCACCCAGACATAGCACCCAGAGGCAGTCTCCCCACCACGTGTAACCACAACGGTCCTTAGCCCCTAAGCTGTCATTTCTCCCCCTACATCCTGTCAAGCAAGCAGCAACAAGCAAACAGCAGCTGGCAAACGACCAAACTAAGCCAACTTGTAGCTACAAATTATTCCATCCCTGACTCTGACCCCCCTTAAAATGTAAGCTATGATTTCTGCCTTTAAAAGCCCTCTGCCTGCTTTACTCGGGGCTGAGAGTTCTTTGGACAGTAGTCCACTCTCAGTCGCTGGCTAAAAGACTCAAGATCTAATCTTCTGTGAGTTGGCATTTTATTTCTCGCACTCCGGTCATAACACCAGCAGTGCCAGACATCACACCCTTACCAAGTGCCGGGCACAGCCCCAGTACCTAACAGCGAGCTCTCACAGAAGTTTGCAAGTGACTGCAGGCACTGCCCATCCTTTAGATGAGGACATAAAGACAGACCACAGTGATCTAGGGCACAGATAAGGTGTCTGTGGACCAGGCAGCTAATGCATATGGGTGGGGCAGTGGAGACCCTGAGAGCTGAGACTGTTTGAAAGGGAAAAGAGTGTTGTTAAAAGTCCTTGGATCTTCTAATTCAACAATGAGGATGAGGCAGAGGAGGACAGTGGCAGGGTAGCATGTTGGCTGCGGGAACCGCAACCAAGAGCCAGGACAGGGAAGGGGTTTGGCCAGTTTGTAGGTGCTGGGAAAGACCAGTGTCACTGCAGCCGAATGGCCATGGCAGTGGAGGGAGAGCTGTTCAAGGGCATGGAGTTTTGTCACTTAGCTAAATATTGTGGAAGGTGGTCCTTGTCTGTCTCTCCTGCAATAACAGTGTTGTCCAAAAGACACATAATGTAATCAGTAACACCAGTCACACATGGAATTTTAAATTTTCAGGAAGCCATATTAGTAAAACAGGTGAAATGCAGGTTAATAATATTTGTTTTACCAAATACATCCAAAATATAATCACTTCAACAGGAAGCCAACCTAAAACTATTAAATGGTATCTTTCACATTTCCTCCCCCTATTCTAAGCCTTCTAACTTAGGTGTGTACTTGCACAGGTCTTAGTTTGGACGAGCCAAATCCCAGAGTCCTGGTGCCAGTGGTACTGGATGGAAGGGTGATAGCAGCCCCAGTGCTCCCTGAGGACTGAGGCCGTTGGAGAAATGAGGAAGAGCTGGATATGAGTTGCATACTAGGCTTGCCTGTCTGTTTACACATGGGATTAGTTGGCCACTTTTAAACATCAGACCATTTCCCATAAAAATTTGGATGATCTTGCTTTGTTGAATTAGACAATCCAAGGACTTTTAGCAACACTCTTTTCCCTTTCAAACAGTCTCAGCTCTCAGGGTCTCCACTGCCCCACAGACACCTTATCTGTGCCCTAGAGCACTGTGGTCTATCTGGCATGCTCTGAGGTACTCTCTGACATGTCCCCACATGTTGACATGTTCCTGATCGGCTCTGACATACTTCCCACATGCTCTGGGACATGCACCTGACACACTCTGGGGCCCGAGGAGACCCTCTGCTGTGTGCTAGGGGTTTATGCCTCATTTAATCTTTATCTTGACCCTGCAAGGCAAGGTATTTCTTGCCATTCCCATTTTACATGGGGGGAACTGAGACTTGGATTGGTTAAGCAGCTCTCCCAAGTCACACAAACTGATCTGGGACAGCTCAGTGCTCTGCCCATTTTGGCCCATCACACAGCCTTCTGTCTCGCTCTCCACTCTCTGTCTGGGCAGACCTCACTTGCCCTCCTCCTTGACTCTTGCACCCCAAGTTGGGTCTCCCTCCACCCATCCTTCACATCCTTCTACTCCTGTCCAGGATCTTGGCCCATCATGGGACTCCAGAATGTACCCTGAGCAACTTATTCGTTTTTGAGTAGGGAGGTAGCTTTTGTTTCTGATTAGAAAATAATAAATACTTATTGTCAAAAAAAAAAAAATTCCAGCCTCAGCAGAAGAACATAAAAAAGAAAGAAAACATCATCTCATCATCTAGCCTTGAGGGATAACCACTATATTCTGGTGAGTCCACTGCCACAGTTCTTTGCATATATGCACATTTATCTGTTCAATTTCCTATAAACTGAATGCTATTCTATTGAACATCTGTCTCTTCTTTCTTTTGCTCACCTGTCCTTTAACCTGCCCATCCCCAGTGTTCCCAATCTGGTGACACTATCCTGTGCCTCCCCATGCTCACATAAGTATCTGCTCATCCTTGCATTCATTTTACATAAATGAGACTATACCCTTTTCCTTATCCACTTCAAAGGGCTATTTGTATATTACAGATACAACTAATATTTTATTTTACCCAATACATCCAAAATATAATCACTTCAGCAGGAAGCCAACCTAAAATTATTTATCTGTCACTTGTGTTGCGGTTATTCCCTCCAATTTCTTTTTTGCCTTTTGGCTTTCTTTATGGTATATTTTACCATTCAGTTTTAAAAATATTACATAATCAAATATGTCTATCTTTTCCCTTGTAACTTTGAGGTTTCCTGGTTTTACTTCTAAAAATATCCTTATTTACCACATTATCTGTTATTCTAAATTCTTTTGCTTTTTTCATTTTCATCTTTACTTCATCTGAAATATTTGTAAATGGCATGGCAGGGGGGTCCAGCTTAGTTTTTTTCTTATGCAAAGGCAGTGTGATAGCACATTGAAATATCACCCCTTTTTCAATGAGTGGAGATACCTCTATTGTCATACATTTTAAATACCTCTGTAGGAAGATCTATTTCTGGATTCTTTAAACTGTTCCCAATTTGTTTGTCTCGTGTACAGCTTGGACTTTGAACAGTGACCTTACAGAATCCCTGAATATTCATCAAGGAAAGTTTTCCCTCTGTATGTGTGGTTTAAAAAGTAATTTATTTTTACTATCCTTAAAGATTCCGTTTTCTATATGGATCTTTAAATTATTTTATTCAGTTTTCTTATCTTTTTAGTTCCCTCCTCACACCCTCTTCCCAAAAAAGAAAAAAATCTGACTGAAATTTTAATTGAAAGCACGTTAAGGTTGCATAATAAAATTTGGTAGAACTGACATTTTTATGATACAGTTTTCCTATTCAGTATCAAGTCAGGGTTAAGATTTCATTGTACTCCTTTAAAAATGATTTTTATGATTTTTCTTTATATGGACATTATATTTTATCATTAGCATGGACAAAGCTGTTGGTTTTTTTTAGCAGTATATTTATCTAGACACTTCACTAAATGAACTTGTTAATTCTAGTAGCTTTTTAAAAAACTGGAATCTCTTGTGTTTTCTAGATCCACCATCATATCATTACCAGAAAAGATACTCTTCCCTGGTCTTTTACAATACGTTTATTATTATCTTGTTTTACCACATATGATAGGGCCTCTAAAACAATGTTGAATAACAGCATTCTCATTTATGATTTTAATGGAAATGAGGAGTTATACCTTTTTGAGGTTTGCTGTTGTTATCATAGGTAAGTAGGTTCCTCCTATATTATTTCAATTTTTATTAGTTATGGTTATTACATGTTATTAAATTTTCTTTTAGTTCAGTTGATATAATTATACATTTTATCCTTATTGGCATAATGAATTATGCTGGTAGCTCACTTGATATTGAAATATCTGGAATAAACTCAGTTACTGAGTATATTAGTTTATTACACTGTTGAATTCACTTTGCTATTAGCAATCATCTTTAGATTTCTTTTTAAATCTTTATGTGTGACTTGGATTGGTTTTCAGCCTTCTTTTGAAGCCTGCCTGTATCCAGTTTCAGAACTAAGGCTATGCCAGCTTCATTGAATGAAAGTGGCTTAAACGGCTCTAGAAATATCTGCTAATGGTTGACTGACCTCAGCTGCTTACTATATGGGCCTCTTTCCAATCACTTATACAGAAGTTGGTCTATTTCTTCTAATTTATCTTTTTCTAGGTTTTATCCATTTCCTATAGTTTTTATTTTCATATTTGTTGTTAAAAATCTGTAATCACAATCTCAATCTCTCTCTCTCTCTTCCTCTGTCTCTGTCTCAGTTTCTGTCTCTTTCTTTAGAAATAGGGTCTCACTATGTTGCCTAGGTTGGAGTGCAGAGGCTATTCACAGGCATAATAATAAAGCAATGCAGCCTCAAACTCCTGACCTCAAATGATCCTTATGCCTCAGCCTCCTGGGTAGCTGGGACTATAGGCACACCACACCTTGCCTGGCCATACTTACTCTTTTTATTCTCTTCTTATTCTGAATCTTATTTGCTCTCTTTCTTTCTTCCATCAATCTCATGAAAAGGTTATTTATTTTTTGAGAACTTTCAGAGAACCAGATTTTGGATTTGTTATCCTCTGGCTTTCATTTGCATGGGTCTTTATAGTTTGCAAAGTTTTCATTTTCAGGAGAGGAAAGAGACAGGAACATTCTGTGGCTTGTCCAAGATCCCACAGTCTGTTAGCAAAAGGTAGAGCTAGGATTTAAGCCAGGCCCCAGACTCTGGCCACTCCAAGAGGTCTCTGGGACAAGACTTCTTTGGAGACACCTGTCAGTGGCAACTGGCTCTCTCCTGGGGTCACCAGTGATGTTTCCTTCTCTTAGGTCACCTGTCCCTTTACCTGCTGCTTTATCTTAGGCATTGGACTTCTCTCTGAGAACAGACTGGGAATTCTTCTCCCCCTAGGAGACTGGGGGGGCATGGAATCTTGAGCCTGGCTTGAATACCAGCTCTGTAGTTGGCTGTGTCCAACTCAGTTTTCTTACCTGGGTAAAATGATTGACATCAGTAGTGTCCACCACCTCAGAGGGTTGTGGTGATAATTATATGAATAAAGATAATTCCTAGTCTGAAACCCTAGTGGCCAAATGGGCTTCAGAGTCCAGAACTTTTAGGATTTTAGCAGTGTGTATATTTCATTATATGATATACTCTCTCCCACCCCAAGTCTGGGACAACATAATATTTTACAATCAGACAGAGTAGTGTTTCCACAGTAATCCATATGCACATCACATTGAATGGAACAAAGCCTCTAAACAACCTCTCCTATTGGTTTAAAGAAGGTTTGTTTACAATGAATTTGCTGCAAAGTTTTGACATATGTAAAAGTTTTCAGAATGTTTTAGATTTCAGAAACAAGGATAAGGGATTGTGGACTATGCAGGTTAACATTTAGGATAGTCTTGGCTTGTGGTTAGTGCCTGACAAATCAGCTGCTATTATACCCATAGCACCCAGGGTCTGGTTCATGGATGTTGTTTGAGAAATGCTCATCAGCCCGCTCCCCACGGGGGCCCCTGTACAGTCCCTTACCACTCTCAGGGACCTATATACAGGCCTGGCCCTGGTCCCCACTGTCTGCACACCAGCTTCCACAGTGTAGCAGCGAGCTGGTGCCAAGAGTGAGGGAAGATGAAGTCCTGTGCCCGCCCGCCTCTTCCCCAGGTTGTTCCCTTCCTCCTCTCAACATGGAAAATGTTGAGCGACTGCCCAGCGTGGTAGTTTAATGAGAAGAAAGTTGAGGCTAGACAAAATAGGTAAGTCAGATACTAAAAAGTGGTGCCGCAGATACCAAAAAGTGACGCAGAGTCCTTGGTAGACACAAGAATCCAGCTCAGCTCACAGCTTACCTGCCTGGCCCCTGACAACATCTTAATTTGGGGTCCCTAGTAAGGGTACTGGGGTTGGGATTGCAGAATGTCATCCAAGGGCAGGTCCTCCACGGCACACCTTGCCCAGCCAGGAGTTTTTCAAGACTTGTCTTAGAGAGTGGAGACCTCTCTGTCCCTGTGGACAGTCCTCGGCTATGGACAGCTCACCCCGGGGCTGGCAGGAAGCCCTAGTGTCTTGGGAGGCAGAACTACCTCCTCCTCCTGGTGGTACAAATGGAGCCACCCAGGAAGGTCCTTCCCAAGTCCTGGACCATGGAGGACAGAGTTCCCCAGAAAGACTTGGAGCCAGGCAACCTACCTGGATGGCAATGGGGACGATCTTGTTGGCCAGGTTCTTATACAGCAAGCAGATGGGCGCAGCCAGGAACTGGAGTGTGCAAGGGTCTGTTTTGTTGGCATCGATGCCATCCAGCAGCTCAAAGTCCACGATAAAAATATTCCCTTGCTGCAGGAGGCAGAGAGATGTGTTCAAATCAGGCTCAGCAGAGATGGACTCAAGAATCAGGCCTAGGGGGGAAGGTGACAGCTTTTGCGGGCCCCCTCTCCCTTTCCTGCAACTTAGTGACATTCCAAGTTTATAGTTCTTCTCTCCTCGGACTGACTGATCATATCTGGCATTTTCACAAGTTGTGGTGTTTTTTGGTAAGGTGAAGGAATGGCAGCATTTGTTGCTCCTGAAACCTGCTTGACCCTCATGAAAAATGTTGAGACTATCCAGGGTGGCAGTTTAATAAGAAAGCAGAGGTTAAACGAAATAGATAAGTCAGATACCAACAAGTGGTGTAGCAGGTAGCAAAAAAAGTGATGTAGAGTTCAAAACAGGGCAAACTCAGCCAGGTCAGAGCCAAGGACAAGAGCCTTGGGAGAAAAGGGAGGACGTTTCTGTAGGGGCATGGTGTCCTCTACAGGGGGCGGGGGAGGGTTTGCAGAGCTAAGAATGGGGTCTACAGAAGAAGAGGAGTCTTCAGGGGTAGGGTCTGCAAAAGCAGAGGGGGAAAACGTGTGCAATGGGGGCCTGCTGGGGCTGAGAGGGAGGTCTGCAGGGTTGGCATGTTTTGCACTGGTCTGAGGCTGGTGACATGGAGGGTCATTGGTGGGGATTCATCAGGTTTGCTGACACATCGAATCCATGCCCTTTCCTGTAGTTGTTGCACTTCAATACAAAACTAAGGTGCCTGTGATTTGGGGAGGTAGTAACACCGCACTGCGAGTCCTCCAGAGGGAACCCCACAGGAGTGCTGAGCCAGAACAGGAAGCCTTCAGGCTGGGGTCAAGGTCGCCCCTTCTGAAGCCTTTTCTATCCCCAGCGAGTGTTGCCGGAATGGATGAGGGTCCTAGTTGGGGAGGAGTCTGCGATGTCGGAAGGGGTCTGGGACATCGGGAGATATTCCAAAGCGGCCACCTGCAGCTCAGGTGACTGTGAATGGCCAGATGCTCAGTCGACTGCGCGCTGCACCGACTGCGCATGCGCAGGAATCCCTGGCTGCGGGGCTCCCCTGAGGACGGAAGCTGCCCACGCTTGACACAAGGGAGCTCAGAGCCTGACCAGTGCCCTCCACCTTTTCGTCGTCTGACACCAAGGATGAGCTCAGAGCGTCTACTGCAATGCGTGGGGGATTCTCCCCAGGGGCCATTGGAACACCTTGTCAAGGATGTGGAGACCGGGGGGCTGGTCGTGCGCAGGGATGACAGGGCTTCCGGGACGGCTGAACAACTGGACTTTGAGAGACTACTACGCAGAAGGAATGGCTTGCTAATTAAATCTTGAGAGGACCCAGACTGGTTAACTGAATGACCCACTAAAGAGAGGCTCCAGGAGGAGCGCACAACATGCCAACTCTGTGGACCCCCCTCCCTGCCACCGAAACCAGGATGCTTGAAAGTTGGGCCCCTAGTCTGGGACATTTCCGTTATCCCAAGCCTCCTTTTCATCTTTCTGAAAAGGGGGCAGGCCCTCAGTTCTGACATTCTAGGATTCTGCGGTAGACATTTTTGTTCTTGCCTGTCCAGGGTCTCTGTCCTCTTTGAGTCAGCATATTCCATTCTCCTGGCCATGGCAACTGGTTCAGGGAATTATCTCCCAACTCAACCTGAGTCTATGAAGATGGGCCCTAAAACATTTTTCTGGGAGTTTTTGAAAATAAGATCTTTCTGGGAACGGATGGTGTTTGCTAAGTTAGTGAAAGGTAAATCTGAAGCTGTTGGTGATCATTTTTACTTCCACATAAGTAGACCCTCTTTTTTTTTTTTTTGAGTTGGAGTCTCACTCTGTCACCCAGACTGGAGTGCAGTGGCCACTCCTGGCCACCGCAGCCTCGACCTGCTGGGCTCTGGCGATCCTTCTGCCTCAGCCTTCCAAGTAGCTGGAACTACAGGTGCGCACTACCATGCCTGGCTCATTTTGATTTATTGTAGAGATGAGGTCTCACCAAGTTGCCCAGGCGGGTCTCGAACCCGCGGGCTCAGGCAATCCACTCACCTCAGTCTCTCAAAGGCGTGGGATTACAGGCTGAGCCACCGAGCCCGGCTAGTAGACCCTCTTAAGGAAAGAGTTCACCAGAGGCAAAGAATTGAGAGATAGAGTGCCAGTGGATCATATGAGCCTTGGGCCTGCTATTCCTGAGCTAGCTTTGCTTTTTATTGTTACCTGAGTCAGTACATTCTTGGATAAAGCCAGTTTGAGTTGATTTTTGTGATGTGAAACCAAAGAATCCTAAAATAAAGTCTAAGAACTAAAACAGAATTGAAGAGCTGAAACAATGAACCAAATTACAGGGATGTAATTTATCTATCTATATTTTTAAAAATTGCACAGGTAGAATTTTTTAAAATTACAATTTAGCAGTTTTAGTAGGCCACAAGCTTACTAGAGCACTAAAACGCTGCCAGTGACAGGTAGCATGAATGACTATGGGAATTAAGAATTATGCTGGTGCATAAGAGATGGGACGGTGTGTGTTTAAGAGTCTGGATAGTGAAGGGTGGATCAGCTCAAAGGAAAGATGACCCATAGCCCACCTTCCCTAGAGGTGGCAGGGACTCCTCAGGGGCAAAGCTGTCACCCTGCCCGGGTGCTGAGGAGGGGCCCCTCTTTGGGTGGCTGAATGCACAGATGACTGCTTCCTCTTCTAGGATTCTGTCTTTTAAGGTTCTATGGTTCTCTGACTTGAAGTTTGAAAACTAAGCCACCAAATCAATGTGACTATATCTAGCAATTAAATCTACAGAGGAATACTGCTCTGTGTGTGTGTGTGCATGTTGTTGTTGTTATCAGTTGTCCATGTGACCAGGTAGTATTCTGGGCCCAGTCAGGTCCATGAGGAAGGGGCTAGGGCTGCCTGCACTAAGGCAGGGGATTTTCCTGGAGACATCAGCTAGGCGGGTGGCCCTCCGGGGTCAGGTGGGCAGGATGTTGGGGCTGGGAGGTTTATCCCCAGATGGTACCATCCATCCCTCTCTGGTTGGGGCCCTGAGACAAGCTGTGCATGAAAGATGGGTGACTGGAAGCAGCAAAGCCCACCTGGACGCCTGAGGGTAGGTGACAGGGGTTGGGCCTTGGGAGGCCCAGTTGTGCTGGTTTTAGGGGAAAGAAGAAGACTGATGGGCAACTGAGGGTCAGTTCCTGTTGCTGAGTCCTGCCAGATCCAGGTAGAGTCAGTTAGAACTCCTTTTGTCTCAAGGTGAGATCAACCTTGTAACCTAAGGATACTGAGCCTGCAGGTGAGGGCTGGGAGAGGGTGAGGCAGGAGCAATGAGAAAGGCAAAAATTCCATCAGGGATTCCTCACTTCTTGGTTTTTTTTAATGGTATGTTTTGCCTAGGCTGGAGTGCAGTGGTGTGATCATAGTTCACTGTAACCTCTAAATCTTGTGCTCAAGTGATTCTCCTTTCTCATCCTTCGAAGTAGCTACAGGCATGAACCACTATGCCTGGCTAAATTTAAAAAAAAAATTTTTTTGTAGAGACGGAGGTTTCTTTATGTTGCCCAGGCTGGTCTTGAACTCCTGACTTCCAATGATCCTCTTACCTGAGTAGTTGGGTGCAGGTGTGAGCTACTGCAACTAGCCCATTTTTTTCTTCTTATACAAGGTCAGCTCTTTCTTCAGTTGCAAGGTGGGTAACAATTTGATGACTGTGTGTATAAAGCATTGGTCATAATGCCTGCCCTGTCACAGGCCCCTAGTCAGGGATAACTCTTGTAATTATTGATACTGATATTCAAAATGTTGATATGTTCTCAGATGAAAACATCTCAGAGAAATATCCCTTTAATCCTCCTCTGACATTGCTCAAGACAGTCTGCATAATGCCCAGAGCCCTTGTCAAGCGCTGCTGCCAGGACAGGAAAGAGGCCACTCCATCAAGGGTGGCTGATATCGTGCCATCAACCAGCCCAGCCTGAGTTAGCATCCTGGGGGTGTGCAAGCACTGGCCAGCAGGAAGTGGCTTCCACCTGACAATGTGTGGCCTTGGCCACTTCCCCAGTCCATCAAGCCCTACCTGGACCTCCTGCTCCAAGCTAAGCTGCCGCTCCAGGCTGCAATCCACCATCTCCGTGGTCACTGGGAGCTTCTCTGGCAGCTCCGTGCAGCGCCGGATCAACACAGGGTTGCAACCGTTCAAGAACTGGTAGCCGAACATAAGGTCTTCTTGCCAGTGATTCATGACCCGCTCTAGGGGGAGAGAAGCAGGCCCCAACCTGACCTCAGAGTCAAGGGCAACCAATGCCACAGCCCTCCTGAACCTGTCTGAGAGCAGAGTCCATGCTGGGTCTCCTTTCCCAGGCACTCATGGCTGGCTGGTTGATCAGGGGTTCCATTCACTGTGCCCAACTGCTGCCCCCAGCCTGTCACTGGATCAGGCTGTGTTTCCACCTCATCCTCATTGAGCTGGTCCCTAGTGGCTCAGATGGCTTCAGGGGCACCCTTCTCTCAAACACTTGGGTCCTTTAGCCAAGCAAAGAGGGGTCCAGGATAGAGGGAGAAAGAAAGGAGTGGAGGGTAGTGCCAGGGTGGGGATTGCTGGGGGGAATTTGCCAAGGCTGGTTCCCCAGGTGATTTCTTTCTTTTTTTTTTTTTTGAGTTGGAGTCTCACTCGTCACCCAGACTGGAGTGCCGTGGCCGCTCCCGGCCACCGCAGCCTCAACCTGCTGGGCTCCGGGGATCCTT